CCCTTTGGGGGGGGGGTGCACCTAGCACACCCCAAGGGGAAACCTCACAGAGTCCGTAAGGGGCAATCATCATGCCCGAGAGAGGTGAGGCAGAACTTGAAACAGATAGGCCTCAGAACTGGGGTCAGGAGGGGCAAGATTTAGACTCAGGGCATCAGAGGGCACGGAGCAGGACAGAGACAGGGCCTGGAGCCCAGCTACCGAGAGATGCAGAGAGAGAGCACGAGAAAGCCCAGGGAGGCTCAGCAGCTCAAGAGAGGGCACAGACAAAAGGCCTTGGAAGGCCAGACAAGAAAACCCTGCAACTCGATTCGGTCAGTGGACTAGATAGAGCTAGAGGGCTCAGTGAGACAGAAAGGGCAGAGGCCAGGAAGACTGAAGCCCAACACAGGAACAACACCAGGCTTGCTCAAGGTCTCCCAGGCAGCCTCCTTCCTTTCCAAATAAGGACATCAAAGGCATGGCAGACAAGTCAAGGAAGTGAAAGCCCCCAGAGTTAGAACTGGGGCAGGAATTGTGCAGCCACCAGGGGGCATCACAGCCACTCCTGGAACATGAACCGTCACAATTTTGTACCTGCACAAAAGTTGATTAGCATCCTCTATACAATATCATAGTATCTCAAAATTCAAATATATTTATTTCATTGTAGAGAAATACTTTGCATATGTCTTTGCTCAGACTGATAATGCACAACACAGCCAAAGCAGATTTGTTTAGATTATTTAAAAGAAGAGATTAAGATTATAGTTCAATGTTATAGTCTACTTCTCTGAAAAAAAAATCAGCCTAAATTGAAAACAAAAAAACTGCAAGCTAAAGAATCCTAACCACACACCCACAACATATTAAAAAAAGATACCAAGACCACAGCAATGGTTAAATAACCACAAACTGCAGTTTGGATGGAAAATAAGAAGTTAAGTCTGAGACTAGGCTTGTTTGATCTCAGCTAATTTATGAGCTGCACGTTGGTTCTGTGGGTCTGGTGACATTCTGTCTTGTTAGTGCTGGCTAGGAGGAACAGGGCTATTTTTCTTCTACTACAGAAGTTTGAAAGAGAAAGAGCAGCTTCATTCAGAGGTCAGATGGGCTGCAGTCAATAAGAGTTTTATTAAATTGGAAATTGCACGGAATATTCCATTGGAAATTGAGCCAATTATTCTTTACTGGAAACAGTTTAAAATGAAATAAATAAATTTAACAAGCCCTGAAGCATGCTAGGCAACTCACAGAAGAAAGTCTCCGAAACTGCTTACAGGCTCGATTTTAAGATGAGTTGTCATGAACAAGATGCACACACCACAGATGAGAGAATGATAAAGAATGAGACTACAGTGGTGATTTTTTCAAGTTCTCAATTTATGTATTTGTACCTCTTTTCAGACATGCAGTCTTCTTAAATCCTGATCTGACCCTGCATGCCCAGATGCCACCTATAGTAAAGAGTATTTTTCCTTCCATATATGATGAACACCACTACACCTTTTCTTTCTGGTGCTTGTCATTGTCATCTTTAACAAACTGCTGGGAGACCAGACTCTGGGACCACTGAGGAACTAAAGCTAGCAAAGAATGCTGTAAAGTCTCCTTATTCTGGGTTTCATCATGGGAGAGTGTTATATTAACGTTTTGGGATGTGTGGGTTGCTAGTACTTTTTTAGGTGCATTCTGAAGGTTAGTGTTAACGGTAGAGCCCTAAATGGGTTGGATCTTAGTTACTTAAGAGAGAACCTGCCTTTCTGGGTAGCATCTGAGACCAGCAAAGATGCTCAAGCCGGCACCCCCTTGAAACAAATAGCAGCAAGCTTGACTTGGAGCATCTAGCTTTGCCCCACACTGATCCAGAATCTGGATTAGTTAACCTCTCAGGCTGGTTGCAATACCTGTCATTTTAGGCTGTGGGAATTGATAGGCAGCACTAAAAACTGGAGGGGCTTAATGAATATTTACATATGACTAAATTAGCATAATTTAGTCCTCCTAATTTACAGGATGAGTATCAAGAGAACAGAACAGGCAGCAAGAGTTAATTATTTCTGAGCTTTATGGAGACACGCTTATTTTTCACACTTGAAAGCTAGATTTCAACATGTGACTAAAGGCATAAGTGAACATTTGTACAAGGGCCTCACCTCCCAGTCCTAACCCCTGCAAACTACAAGATCACACAGTTAGTAATCCGTTACAGGGATCCTGATAAACAGACAACATTAACATAGATAATCCAGCTTTTATTACACACTTCATTCAAAACCAGCTGCAGTCAATGGGAGTGTCTCGATTTTTATGGCCTTTGAACTGGGCTCCATAGGCTCAGCTCAAGACAGTTTAGTTACTCAACTTCCATGTCATTAGAGTGAAAAAGCACTACAGCAATAAAAAATAGAAACTCCCAACACTTCCTCTTGAAAAATTTTCCCCGGGACCCATTAAGAGCACTCTACATGAAATAAAAAAGCTACGGCCATTATATAACAATCTCCTACAAAGGAAATGTTTATAATTGGCTACAACCACAATTCAGTGCAACAATCTGCAATTCATGACCATCACAAGATTGTTTATTTATTCATTACCTGTTTTACTGGTAAAAACTTGTAGATTCACAGTTTTAGGTGCCATCTCTGTGTCTTGATAGTAATCATATCCAAAATTCACAAGTCTACAAGCAAAGAAAGAACATTAAATAAATGCATTTCTTCATCCACGATTATTTTTAAGAGTTGATGGAACCTCTGAAAGATCACAAGGGAAACATAAGAATTAAATTATAATCCAATATTCCCTAAAACAATTTAAACCAGACTCAGGTTGATCAATCTATTTCGCTTAGTTTACACTGCAAAAAAAATGCAGCAATATTGATCTCAACCATATTTAAAAAAAAAAAAAAAGGAGCAATGCACATGGCAACATGGTACTTCTTCCTGCAGTATACACCACATGTATCTACATGCAAATAAACTGAGCAGGAGTGTCTGAAATGTATAACTTACCTCTCATGCCTAAGAGCTTAAAAGGCATGGTATCACCCTTATTCATGCAGTTCCATTACACTCTGCAAGTGGTCTTGGGAAACGTGTGGAGAAGGTCTCAAGCTTAGACTTGATGACCCTTTTAGCTACATATGAATCTGGCTCTAAGAAATTACGTATTTGTGTATTTTATGGTCCCAAATCCTGATAAGTAACTCCAAATGAAGTTAGCATGTTAAGAGACCCAATTTTAGATATACCTATAGACAAGTGAGAAAATACACTTTGGGTGTGTTGACACGTCCCTAAGGTGCTGTCATTACTGTGCCATCATTTACTACTTCCTTTTGGTAGTAAATGATGGCACAGTAACAGCCCACACTACGCCATGCCAGCAGCATACAGTTATTTTTAGCCCCTACATTGCCATAACAACGCACCATAATAAGGGAGCACATTGCTACAGCAATGTAGCTGCGGCATCACGGTTTGTGCCCACAAATGCTACATCGCCATTGTGTGTTGCTATGGTGAGATAGCATCACACATAGTACCACTTACTTGGCCCTTTGAGTACCACTTACTTTAATCCCATGTCACTTAGTGAAATATCCAGGGGTGCCTCCAGCTGTTAACCCAAAAAAAATCAGAACAGACATACGTTTAGTGAAAATTACAGTATTTTAAGGGTGGCCTTACAATCAGTCCATGGAGCATCTACTCACTCACATTCCACTTGACTTATTTTGCCATGGGAAAATCATAACTTCATTTACCATCACTTAAACTTTTAGTCATTCAAAAAAGTCAGAAAACTCTACCCCCATGGTGTTAAATACAAGTATGAACTGGGACAACTTCAAACCTCCAACAACACTATTTCAGCAAACTTGAATATGGTATCCAACATTAGGGTTAAGTTTGCCAATCCAAATAAATGCTCTGCAATCAATGACACAGACTCAGTCCTGTTTCCATTGAAACTATTAAGCTTTTATCTTTCTAATAGATTTGCAAATTCTGCTGTCAGGTGTGTTTGTATAAAGCTGGATTAATTGCATGAACTTGAAAATAACTGCAAAGATGTTAATCCAAATCTGTGAAGCAATGCTAATGTAACAGGCCAAATTCAAATCTTATCACATTTTTAAACATGTCAAAAGGGTTATTTTGTTTGTTTTTAAAATATAAACCTGTTATTAAAAATAAAACTGCTATGACAAAGTATCAGTATCATTCCCTGAAATAAATTACATTCTCTCCAAGACTACTTATATAAGATCACATTAACAACTTACTATTAATTTAAAGTTTTCATCAGGATAAAACTGGACACATTTTAATGTATTCCTTGATTCCTAAAATTAAGAGGAATTTTTTTTATTAAGACTAATAAAAAAAGATTACTACAAACAATGAGAAGGTTGAATTTGAAACAGTCCTACTTGCTAGCACATAAAAGTTAACCAGAAGGGAGACAAAAAAAAGAAAAGACCACAAACAAGCCTCCACAATAGCACTCCTTATTACACCACTATGACATATTTCCTTCCTGTCCCAAATTAGTTAACTACCTTCTGTCTATAACTGCATAACACAGAACTGCGCTCCTCTTTCATCCATAAGAATCCACTAGAAGATTTTTTCCCTAATGTTTCGCCCATACAGCTAAAGCCATTAGGAACATTATCTTATTTTGGACAACTTGAAAGGCCTCTTGCAAGGGAAGAATAAGGGAATAAGAATGAGAATACGTTCTTCATTATAATATACACATGCCTTCCTTTCTGCACAAGGTCCAACTGATTCCATAGGGTCAAAAAAGTTAGCACTGAAAGTCTATTGTTTTCATGCAAGTGTGTTTATTCCCACAAGTCAAAATGAAAAGCAGTTTGCAAATGCCTAACCTGAGGACCTGTTCTCCCCTGGTACACACAAGTTTTTCTCTCTTACTCATGGCTGCCCCGATGTGCAGAAAACACCCTCTCCTAAATTGGCAAGTTCACTGCCCTAGGTCAAACATGCCGTAAGTTCAAATCACTGCATATAGCAGTAGTACATTTAAAACGGAACAGGAAAGTCTTATTTTGACCACTAACTTTAATTACAAAACACATTGATTTTACACCTCAAAATAATCCAACTGATACAAATTTTTGCTGCTTTATGAACTCAAAGCTTTCTATCAGAAAAACAAAAAAGATGGAACAAACACAGAGATCATTTTTTCCACCTTTGGAACAATGTAGAACAGTCTTTGTTCTGTCATATCCCATTGTGCCCAAATGAGATCATCTGCAACTCTCTCTCTTGGAAGCTGGCCTGTGTTTTGAATCACCTGAATGGAATTTAAAAAAAAAATAAAGGAATGGGGGAGGAAAAAAGGCAAGGAAGGGAGAAGCACTACAAGCATATTTGACTTTAATGAAGACTTTTGCACAACTTAGGATTTTAATAGTTAATGTAATATACAACAGTATAATATTTTAATTAACATTTCAAAGTCCCTTAATATATTATCTGTCCCCCACATTCAATTCTCCCTTTGTAAACTGGAGCACCTGTTATACCAGAGGTACAATGTTTAGCTCCTCTCAGTGGAGTCAAATCTAAAATTGTAGTTATATGATCAGGTCCAAGTTTGCCCTTGACACACACAAAAAAACCACCATTTCAAGTCACATTTGTCTATTAAGACTGGGGACCGGTATAAATCCACAAAGTCCATATTTCAGTTATACTAAAAATATATGTCTGCACTCCTTCCACTGTGATCCCAAGAAACATGCTGAGAAACATGCCCTGCTCACTTGCTTCTGCTCTGTGTGTACAATTCTGCTGGGAAATAAAAAGAAAAAAAGTAATACAATTGTCATTAGAGTGGTACCATGCACACCCAGCACAGCTCTCAGGATCATGCTCAAAACTGAGATCCTGACAGCATCCCTGGGCATGTACCAAAAAGCAACTAACTACATGGCACTTTTCAACAAACAGCATGTTCAGAGTGGAGCATACAGGCAGGACTCATTTCTCAACAGCAGTCCAGAGAGCTCCAAAGAAACAGCAAAGACTTATCCTACGGCCCTTTACTCCACTCCTGCAGTTAAAAAATCCCACATATTTTTAAACCATCTTTAAACTGTCAGAGCAATATAAAGACTTTAGAACAGGGGGTTGGCAACCTACAGCTTGCAGAGCCATTGGAGCCAGCATGAGTAGCTACTGGCAGTGTTTGGGGTGGGGGGAGGAAGGGTTGCCTGCACTGTACTGCACACTGCTGCAGCTGAGCCGCAGGAAGCTTTTTGTACTGTGCCGGATCTGGGATGCAGACTGAAACAGCTCTAGGGAGGTGCAGCAGCAGCCACAAGCTGCTAACACCAGCCTCCCCCAACCTGTATCTGTCATCTTTAAACAAATATTTAGTTTCCATCATATATTGAATACATAAATGCAGTAGAGACAGTCCAATTACTGAATTTCATTTTAAGCAGAATATACGCATGTTAGTGGCTTTGCATGGTCTTTTAATAATGCTACTGCTGATAGACATCAACTGTAGAAACTAAGGCTACAAACAGATGCTGTCTTTGTGATGGGATCAGCTGTGCCAGGATAAAGAGAGAAGTCACCCAGGGCCACTGTCCTGTTAGATCAGGCCCCCACATTTCCCAAAACTTCAGGGGCCCAATCCGACGGGAGACCAGCCTCACGGCATGCATCCACTGGTACAGAGCAAAAAGGCTGTATCCCCACTCTGCACCTGCAGACATGGGGCTTCAGAGCTCCCAGGGCTCTGTGGGACAACACCCCTGGGGGCAGACTTGACCCAGGGCAGGCACCTGCAAGCACAGAGTGGGGAAGCCTATCGGTTCCTTAGATCATTCCCAGGTCAAGGATAAGCACTCAGGGCCACTGTCCCAAAGGATCAGAAACCTGAAGTCCCAGGAGTGCCTGTCCCAGACAGCCCATGCACCATAAGCAAATCAAAATCCACTATGAAAAGGCAGCACAAACTATAACTAAGACTCACTGCATCACTATTTTGGGGCAGTTAGGGCATGACGAGGGCCAGGGACATCTGTTCACTAGGTTTTTCTGATGTCACAAAAACGTTTATGGTGGCAGAAGGGCTGCAAACAGATGTTGCCCTACACAGGACAGGATTCATATCTGGTGTTGCAAACAGAACACTAATGGAGGGGAAGAGAAATACAAGAACATTCACACCACAAGTTTCAGAATGAATTTTAGACGCATATTAGTGTTTTGTGGCTTTTTTATGCCTCTTATACAGGCAGCTTTTGTTAACTTTCCTTTAAGCATCCCTTTTTAAGGATCCAATACATTTAGGCCTTGAGGAAAACAAAAACCTTTAAATAACCTTTGATCAGGCCACATTCAAAGGCATAAGGAGAAAACAATGAGAAATTTAATTTCCTTCTATATTACACAATACATACTTTAAAATCTTCTTCAGGGCTGGCTGAATAATTTACCTTTCAAAGCTATCATAATTGTTGCCACACATTAAAGTAGTACTCAAACAGCTATTTAAAAAGGACAGGAAAAGTTACAGAAAGAACACTGATTGCCAGAATACTTATCTTCCATTAAGTTTTCAATTAAGAAATAAATAGCAAAAAATTGATTTCTTACCACTTTGTGCTCTTCTGTGACAACGTGAATGTGAAATTGTTCAATATCTTTAAAATTAAAAATATTTGTACTCATTTTAAAATACAAGGTAATGACACCAAAACTCAAATCAGAACTGTAGTTCTAGTCCACAGCACTCCAAAGTACCAGAAAGCTCATCATTTACTAGATTATATGCAATATGTGTTCAAAATATTAATTCATACTTACATCTATCTTCTGAAATTAGTAAAAGATGGCTTTCTGGAAAGGGATTTCCACTTTCAACTGGATAGAGAAACTATAAAAAGGAAATTTTGCAAGGGTTAATCAAGACTCTGTTAGTGAAGCTAAATTAGATATTTATAATCTTAAATGGCATACTTGATAACTTATAAATACTGACAGACACACCAAGTAAATTCAGCAAAGAACATCTGCATTATTACAGACTATGAATCATATCCAAAAAAAGGATTTAAAGGCAAGATTCACAAAAGGACTTAGGTCCTAGGATGCTAAGTGCTCCCACACCTAAAATTTAGGGACCCAGCTCCAGGAGTTGAATTCACAAAGCTGAGTTAAGGACATAGATTCCACATACATTAAATGACAAGAGTTAGACACCTAAGCTGCTTGCAGACATTAAAACAAAAACAAAACTGCACGTGGAAGCAGCAGCACGTTACTTCAACTAGCTCTGCAGCGTCTGTATGGATTGGGCACTTCAGCAGGGCTTTTTGGCAGTTTTATGTAAAGCTGAGTCAATCAGCTATTAGATAAAAGCACCAAAAAAAGCCCCACTGAAATGCCTGATCTATACAGGCGTCAGGCAAGCAGGGTCCGACCAATATGCTGCCTCTTCTGGGCACGTGCCGGGCTTAGCACAGGAGACGTCCCCAAACAGAGGATGTCTAAGCCAGTCATTAAGAAGGCCAGAAGAAAGAGGAACCTCTAAACACCCTACTGCGCTCCCAAACCCATGCAGCAGTTAGGTACTTAACTCAGGACTGCAGGAGGTGCCTAAGGGCATAGACCCATGTAAAACTGAAATGCTCCCAAATGTCACCGATTGGGAATTGGTTCACAGTTATCACAGATCAGGTGTCCACACATAAAGTGCCCTAGCAACCCAGGTAGAACAGTCACCTTTTAGGCCAGGGATGTCTCACACATCTGGCTGGCAGGCCAGTGCCATGTCAATCCCTGCTGACAATGAAGAGACACCAATTTTAAGAATCACAATGAGAGTTACCCAAGAGCATCCTCAACAGCTCAGCTCCAGATCTGGAGCATGTAGAGCAGATGTGGGTGGGTAGCTAGGGCTTATTTTTCCATAGCAGCTTTGAGAGGGGTGCATGCCCAGAGTAGACATGCCCCAAGAATATTGGTCTGTAGGGCTGTGCGACGCTTCGGTAGCCAATTCAAATCAGAGGAGATTCGGTCCGATTCAGGGACCGAATCTTGGAATCCAAATCAAATCAGGGGACCAATTAAAAGCTCTGAATCTATTTGAATCAATTTGGAAAACGATTTGGTGATTCAGCCATAGACTAAACAGGCAGCTGACACAGCTGCCTCCAGCTGGTAAATCTGTTGGGGTTGGGGAAGGGAGGGGGTGTGATGGAGGGAGGGATTTGGGCTGGGACAAGCTGCCCAGCCAGGGCTGGGGGCACAGGACTTGGGGAGGGGGGCACAGGATGTGGGCACAGCAGCACTCGGAATTGCCACTTGCCCAGCCCGGGGCGGGGACACAACACGACGGACGGGACGGGACGGGACGGGACGGGACATGCAGGCGCAGCTCACTCTGGGCAGAAGGGGGCAAGCAGCAGCAGGGCAGAGCCCCTGCTCCCAGCGCTGCTGCACCCACACCCTCACACCAGCTGGCAAGTGGCAACAGCACCCGCTGGCAAGCAGCAACAGCACCTGCCCTTCCACGCCAGCTGGCAAGTGGTGGTATCACAGAGTCCCTGATCCCAGCACTGCCATGCCCGCATGCCACACCCCCCTGCTCCCCTCCCTGAGTAACGTGGCCTCTTGTCCCACTGGGTAGTTTGTCCCAGCCCCAATCCCTCCCTCCCCCAGGCCCAACAGATTTACCAGCTGGAGGCAGCCGTGTCAGCTGCCTGTTTAGTCTATGTCCAAATCTCCAAAGCAGTGCCAAATCTTTCAGATCCGATTTGGCCAAAACAAATCAGGACAGTGATTTGAATCTCCAAATCAAATCACCGTCCTCTGAACCAGCCAAATCTGAATCCAAAGCAAATACTTGCTGCTTCGCACAGGCCTACTGGTCTGTGCCCACCCCTCAGGCTCTGAATCCTAAGCAAATGGAGGTGCCTTCTTTGAAGCCCTGGCTCAGGTGCCTGCTACAGAGAGGCAGGAATTCAAACACATTCCCATGTTTAGTGTTTTCTATTGGATAGTTGTTGACAGCTCCCCACTCTGCATGCAGGTTTTTTGTTTTGTTTTGTAATCACTTTTTGAATTGCCTTTCTTGCCCTATGGTTTGTGTGGGAAGTCTAGCCACATCATTACTCTGGGGATCAGGTACCTGAAATTTAGCATTGCTGCCCACAGGCATTTGTAGACACATACATTAGATACATGCATAGAAAAATAGGAGATAAACCATAAAATAAATATCTTTAGAGTCAATAGCATGATACACTATCTGCATTGTACTCAGCAATGTCATGCAAAACTATTTGGTTGTAAAGAGGTACCTTTACACTCCCTTAATTTTTCACGTGCAAGTGAAAAAAAGGAAAAATGAAATGTAAGTAGGTTGAAGCATTACCTGCACTCTGATACAGCTATCCACAGCCTTCAGGACTTTCACATAATTAACAGGATGAATTTCAATAAGCAAAGTCAAACATTTTGATACTGCAAGAAGAACACAAGTTCGGATGACATCAACCTATTTTTACAAAGTCTTTTTTACAACAGAAAATAGAAGATAAAAGCAAAAATGGAATCATAGAAAATTAGGGTTGGAAAGGACCTCAGAAGGTCATCTAGTCCAACCCCTTGCTCAAAGCAGGACCATCCCCAACTAGATCATTCCAGACAGGGCTTTGTCAAGCTAGGTCTTAAAAAACCTCCAAGGATGGAGATTCCACCCCCTCGCTAGGTAACCCATTCCAGTGCTTCACCACCCTCCGACTGAGGAAGTTTTTTCTACTATCCAACCTAAAGCTCCCCTGCTGCAACTTGAATTTCAAGCAGTGCTGTAACATCCATCCAGTGATGCTAGTTTAATTACCACATCCATTGAACACTGTTACTTTAAAATTATCATGATTAAAAATAAAGACCTCGCAGTACCTGGCTGGAGTAGTTGATTTACTTTATCTTCTTTTGTCATCTGAAGAAAACTGACCGCTAATCAACAAAACCACAAAAAAGGTATATTCAGTATTTTGTATCACTAAACATTTCCAGATACTAGATGACATTAGAAATGTTATGGAAGAAAAGTCATAAATTGTTCAAACTTTAAAAGCAAGAAATGGCAGGTACCATAGGTATAGTAGGCAAGACAAAACTTACGAGAAATCCATTTCTTTTATTAAAAAAGCAGTAACAGTGATTGCATGCTCTCACTTACAGGTTTTAGTGGCAGAAGTATTTAAAATGCACGAAGACAGATCACTATAAGCTAGCTACTTATGGGTCAATATTGCTCTCATTATTTCTAGAATTAAATGTATATAGACAAGCAAATTTTAAAAAGCTTTTACCCAATAATGTCCTTTCATTGTTGACTGAACAGCTGATTATGTGTAGATCTCTCTCGAAGGTATACAGGTGCTATTAAGAAATATATTTTGAGTTAAAGTTTATTTCCATTCCACACCAACCACATAATGCGAACTATTCCTTACCGAAAAAGAGAAACCAACATATTAATTGTTGTCAAACAAATTCTCCTAAAGCCATAAAAATCATACTTTAGGCCTCAGTTTCAATCTCCACCACCATATGTGCACTGCTTATTTCCTCAAGCCTCCAATCTTGTCACTAGTTTGGTTCAGAAAGACCCTTATATAGCTATGAACCCTCAGCTTCCAGAGATCAAAATCTGGGGACAGTCGCATATGCTCTACAGTCCTTTGGAATATGAAGTAGTCTCTACTATTTCCAGTTTCAGTTAGCACAGACTACTTAGTGCAGAACACAAATGTGGTTAACACTGCTTCCTGTTTGGGGTGGGGGGAAGCCTACCCCCCAACAGAACTAATTAAACCAGGTGATAAAATGGCAGAGCTAATTAAATATGAATATGGGTATACTGCAGGGGTGGGCAATTATTTGGGCCTGTGGGCCGCATGGGCAGTTTTGGGGAACTGTTGTAGGCTGGTCAGCACCCCCCCACCTGCAACAGCTCACCACACCCGGAGCCCACAGGCTCTGTGGCTCCTTGCCACCGCCGCTCTCATCAGGGCCCAATAGCAGATGAGCACAAAGCCGCAGCCCTGGCCCACCCCATGCCTGCTAACATGACCACACTCCTTCCAGTTGACGCATTAAAGCGGCACTTGTATGTCATCAGGTAGCATCAGGCTATATCCTCACAGATGTACCAAGATGCTGCCTGGTGCTTCAGGATGTTTGGAGGGGATGTGATGAAAAAAGGGCTCAGCCAATCCAGAATCAGCTTTTCAAATCTGGAACATGAAGCCCCATTTTCAAGGCCTTTTCAGAGACACCAAAACATAACCCTGAAATTTGGGACTTCTAGATAATTCTGGATGGTTTGTTGCTTTGATGAAACCCCAATGATTTCAGTACAGCTCTGGACAGGCATTAGGAACTGTCCACATAGATTTAACTGCAGGACTGAACTGTGTCTTCATATTCCTGTAGCATCACCAAACACACTGCAGTTGTACATGCAGGACAAGAGAAGAATTAAATAATTTATCTTTTAGCAAACATACACAGTTAAAGGTTTTTCGCTTGTTTTAAACACTGGAGTGGACTCAGCAGTGTTCAAACACTGACAATATCAGATAGTGTTGAACATTATGACACACTGCTACATTACACAATCTTTGAATGATCTACACTTTGACACTGGAATGTCACACATGTAATTTATATTGAAAAGGAGATGGTCCTAGAGATGCAAGTAAATCATTTTGTAGTCTAGAAAGCTGGTCCTCACCTCATTTTGTCTTGTTTGAGGATCATACAATCCAATGCAAGTGTTTCTCAGCTGACCCTGTAAATTAAAATGAAAAAAAAATCTAAGGTTTTCTCAAGGTTCTCACCATTTGCTGAATGTTTTCATTTCTTTTCTCCCTTCCCTACCCCACCCCCCTAACACAAACATCACCAGTCCTTTCCATTTATTTCATCTTTATCCTTTTTCTGTCCTTTATTTTGTCACACCGACTCCAATTCAGAGCAGATGTGTAACAGAAGGTCTGCCCAGAGACCAGATAAGTAATACGGGGCTTGTCCACAGGCCAGATCTGGGAGTACAGAGCCATGACATCTGACCCACAGGGCTGGAAATTTGCTGGTGGAACAAACAGGAGCAGCATTAATTGCTAGATCTTCTAGTGCCATAACAACCACTGCTTATCCCACCACCAAATTTCCAGCCCCACAGGGCAGCCCTGTGGGCCAGATGACACAGCCCCATGCTCCAGCTCTGACCGACAGATTGGAAATTTGGCAACAAGACAAAAAGCAACTGCCAGCTTCAGGAGCCACAGCAATTACTGTACGTGCTCAAATAGAAGACAAGATTCCCTCTCACCTCCCCAATGAGCCTGGTGGGAAAAGCCACTCCTCATACATTCACATACAAGGAAACCTCATTAAATACACTGTCCATCTTTGAACTGGTGCTAAAAGCAGCATGCCTTCAGTAATGGAAACCAACTAAATGTAACAAATACTGATCATGACTATACAACGGACAGGTTGTCCCCCCCATATGGAACCGGCACTGGGCCTGGAGGTGCTGCAATAACACACCAGCACCAGGAGGGCCAGAGCCAGCCCTTCCACACTCCCCTTGGTACCAAAAATGCTTTATCTTAGACAAAAAGCTGAGTTTTTTGGGGTTGGTTTGTTTGGGTTGGGGGGGGGGGGG